ATTTGTTCTTTGAAAAATCTAATTTTGCTGAGTACAACCTTGTAAGATTCCAAAGGAAATATGTAATCACTCAACATGACCCCCTCCTTTACCTAAACAAGGGTATAAGACCCCACTTCTCCTGTTCTGCGGGGCTTGACCTGGAAGCATTAGCCCCTCGAGCCGCTGAGCCAGCCAGCGTAATAAAGTGCCACTTCCTATAATAGTCTCGGTGTCATGATCTCTCTGTCTTCCCACTGCAGACATAGCCACTTCCATAGGCAGGACAGGGTTTAAGAGGCAGGGTGCCTCTGCAAAATCTGGGAATGGCAGAAACTCTGCTCACCTGTGGACTGAGGGAACAATAACAACACTCCATTGCTTCTCTTCTACCCCTGTGCAACAGGTCTGGTACTCCCCAGACAAGAAGGCCACTCCACAATCCTAAGGGCACTTAAGCCAAAAAGAGCTGCAGGGCACTGCCTGGCTACCTGCCAATCCTGCCAATGAGACATGTTGTCTGGTGGAAGAGGACACCGGAGCTCCTGTCAATACCTCATCGCCTGTCCCAAAGGGAGGGGAAAGTCACTGAATTAGAAGAAATATCACACTTTATTCCCACTAGACTACACAAGAAAAGTAATTTCAGATGATTTCCCCTTAGTTCACCCCACTTCCTGCCACTGCTCCCCGAAAACTCAGTCCAGACCAGCAGGGAGGTCAGGAAAAATAAATGAACCCACTAGTGGTCACCCAAACTCTATCAAGTTTATGTAATTAATAATGAACAAAAAATAGAGAAGTGTCTACCCTAATAATGAGGAAGAAACAGCAAAAACAAAAACAAAAAAGCACTGGCAATCCACAAAGCCTTAATGAGTTGACATCCCCTGTAGAGCTTCCCAGATCCCAAGCAATGGAACCCATACAGAATGACCTATCCATGATGACAGACATAGAATTCAGGTTATGGATGGCAAAGACACTCAACAAGATACATGAGAAGGTGGACACTGAACATCCAGACCATGAAAACAGTGCAGGTGGTGAATGCTGAGCTGGCTTTTATAAGGAAGGTCCAATCTGAACTTCTGGAAATAAAGAATTCTCTCATGGAATTTCCAAGTACTGTAGAAAGCCTGAGCCAATTCGACCAGCCAGAGGAAAAAAGTCTCATAGCTTGAGGATTGAACTACTGAACTAACCAACTCTGACAAAAACAAGGAAAGAAGGTTAACAAAGAATAAACAGAGCCTATGAGAGTCTGGGGATTATGGAAAGACACAAATCTACCACTGACGGGCATCCCTGAGGGAGAAGAGGAAATTCATGGAAACACCTTGTAACAAGCCTTCCAAGATATCATCAAAGAACAGTTCCCTATCTTTCTAAAGAGGAGGCCATGCAGATGTATGAGATTCAGAGAACTCCTGTGAAGAATTACAACAGAAGACCATCCCCAAGGTATATAATACTCCTTCTCTCCCAAGGCACATAATAATCCATCTTGCTGTGATGAGTATGAAAGAAAAAATGCTGAAGGCATCTAGAGGAAGAAGACCACCAAGGAAGACCTGTTAGAATTGCAGCAAATTTTCTGCAGAAACCCTACAATCCGGAAGGGACTGGGTGTCATTTTTAACAATCTTGAAGAAAAACAATTCCAGCAAGAAATTTTCTATCCCATCAAGCTAAGCTTCATCAATAAGGAGATAAAACCCTTCCTAGACATTCAGTCCCTAAGAGAATGTCATCTCCAGATTAGCCCTTTAAGAGATATTTAAGATTTCTAAGCACAGATCTATTCCACTAATTTGAAAAGAATAGTCAAGCACAGAGTTTCAAGACTATAAATGTAAAAATCAAAGCAGCCTCTTAATAGCAATATGACGGGAGTAGCTACCATATATCAATAATTTACTTATATATGAACAAACTGAACATGCTGTTCAAAAGGAATATAGTTGCAAATTGGATTTTAAAAAAGCACGGTCCATCCTTCTTCTGCCTTCAGAAAACCCATTGCACTGCAAATGACACCCATGGGTGGAAGGTAAAGGGCGGGAGAGCAAATGGAAAAACAAACAACCCCCCCAAACCAAACAGGAATAGCTATTCTGATATTAGACAAAACCGACTTTGAACCAATAAAAGTTTACAATATGCCACATAATGATAAAAGACGTCATCCACTAGCAAGAAATAACTATCTAGAATATATATTACTCTAAACAGTAACACCCAAATTATAAAATAATTTCTAATTAAGCTATGAGATACATGACCATACAGTTATTGCAGTCAGAGATTTTAATATGTCATTAACAGCTTAATATCATCAAATTAAAAAATTAACAAAATTCTGCAACTTGGACTCAATTAATTGGACCTAGTAGACATCTACAGAACACTTAGCTCAACAGCTACAGAATATACATTTTTCTCATCAGCACATGGAACATTGTCGAAGATCGATTGCATACTAGGACATAAATCAAGCATGAACAAATTTCAAAAGGTCAGAATCATATCAAGCATCTTCAAAGACCACAGTGGACTGAAATATATATCATCACCAACAGGAACCCCTCAAACATACAAGTATATG